TGAGCGATACAAGATTGGGTTACTACGTACCTGCTGCGCTGGAGATATCGCTACGCCGAGAGAGAGAGAGAGAGAGAGAGAGAGAGAGAGAGAGATGAACGATACAAGTTTGGTTGTCACTTACCTGTGAAGTGTGCCGTGCAGTCCCACGAGGAGGAAGGAAGCGGCCATAGCTGCGGAGCTTCACCGCGGAGTAACGAAGGAGGGTGAGAGAGGACAGAGAGGGAGAGACCGAAGAAAGAAAGGGAAGGCATAGCCGAGAGGTGGAGAGAGAGGCGATCAAAAAAAATAAAAATAAAAAAGAGGGAAGAAAGGAGACAGCCGGGGTGAAAGGAGGCGAGGAAGAAGAAAGGAAGGAGGAGGGTTGGCGAGGAAGGAGAAGCCGGCAGCCATAGCTGACCGGAGGTGTTGACCGGGGAGTTGACCGGCGTGACCGGGAGTTGATCGGGGTGGTCCAGGAGGGGTTGACCGGGGGTTGACTACAGCGTTGACTACAGCGTTGACCAAGGCGTTGACCAAGGCGTTGACCAAGACCGTTGACCACTACTTCGACCAAGCTGGAGCTGGTATATTCGCGCCAAGCCTTCAGCCTATCCCATCGCCCTATGGATGTGCACACACCCTATGGTACTTGCTGAGTCCACTCTGTCTGTCTCTTCTTTCTGCATCGAGTCTCTTCTGTCCTAGGTGATAGTACTCTGTGGATGAAGGATAGGGCCTTGTTGACCAAACCCACACGGGCAGAGTAGGGCTAAAAGTTGTGTCTGACGACTCGACTGTCCCGGAGGCCTAACCCCAGGACCGGTACTGACCGGCGGGCTGCTCGGTGTGGCATCCGAGCAGTTAAACAACGATTTTTTCCTTTCATCTTTGTCTTTACCTGTAGCTGAACACCGGTTGTGGGCTGCACAACAGGCCGTCTAAGTGTTGAGAGACCTGCTGATCGCGTCATCCTGTCTGCGACGTTAAATAATTCCTGAGGCATCTCCTTAAATGCCTCCTGATCAGCAACAAGTCTAGTAGTGACAGCCTTAGTGTAGGTCTAGGCTAGAGACCCTAGTTGGCAGGATCCCTGTCAGGATTCTGTGAGTCATTAGATTGAGTCCGTAGGTTTGTCAGTCAGGGGTTAGAGTCTACGTTGTGAGGTTTGGAACCGCTGACCCAGTTGTGCACTTATCACCATGGTTGACCTTCGTAGTGGAAAGAGTACTAGCCCCTATACCCAGGAACAGCAAGAGCAGATGGCCGCCTTAGTAAGAGAGAATAAGGAGAGGAAAGAGCTCCTGAAACAGGCGAAGCTAAAGGCAATCGCAAAGGAGCAGGCGACGAAGATGAAGGAATTGGAGGAGGAGATGGAGAAGAAGAAGAAGGCTGCTGAAGAAGAAGCGGCAGCAGAAGCAGAAGAGGAGAGGAAACGCAAGGGGAAGGAAGATGAGGGATTGTAGACAGGAAGTGCAGGCGCAGACAGACATGTCTGCCAAGATGGATAAAATGCTGGGTTATCTGGAAGTGTTAAGTGTGGCTTGGATGGAGGAATGCCAAGCCAACAGGGCCCAAGAAGTAGCCCTGAGTGCCATGCGGTCAGGGTTTAGGGACTTTGCTCGCGATATGGTCACCCACGTTGGAGGAGAAGTTAGGCGATTGAGAGACAACGTGGGGAAGTTTTGTGAGAGCGCCATTGAGGGTGCCAAAGCGGTTGCCGCTGTCGAGACTGAGGCTAGACCCCGTAAGGAGCCCGTGAAGCTCAAGTTCCCAGATGCATACGGGGGAAAGAAGGAGGAGAACTTTAATAATTGGGAAGCCAGTGTCAATAGTTACATATATTTACAGCACATTCTTACTGAAGAGCAAGTCCTCGTGGCCTTCCAGGCCCTTAAGGATGAGGCGGCTAGTTTCGTTAGGTCCCTCGCGCACGCAGCCGGTTGTGAAAACAACCTGGTTGCATACTCTAAAATCACCCCCCTTCCTCAATTCTTCAAGCTCCTGAGGAAGTGATTTGCTGATCCAACAAGAGGCGTCAGGGCCTCTAATAAGTTACAAACGATTCACTCGCGACAATGGAGGAGTGCAAGAGCACTCAAGGGCGTTATGGACGACTTGGTAGCCGTCCCAGACCATGGGGTCATTGAGCCCCAGTTGGTCCAGTTATTCTATCGTGCCATGCCAGAGCCCCTGCCTGGGCACTTTTTTGACAAATCTCAGCAGGCTGACATTACCTATGATGTGTTGAGTAGAGAGGTCGTCTTGTTTGAGTCAAAGTCTATGCCAGTTTCCACTTTTTGGCATAAGGACTTGGACAAGGGGAAAAAGTGGAAAGGTCGTACCATCTCCGGCCAAGTCAGGGCCAAGGATCACATGATCCTTACTTTAGAGGAAGGTGGTACTGATGAGGTCCCACATAGTCAGATTGAGTGGGGCCATGAGGATGAGGACAGTAGTATGGGGCAGGGGAGGTCTTATGTTGCTGTCGCAAGGAGGAGGCCAGGGCCAAAGGGGCCAGGCCATGGGAGGCCGAGGACCAGGCGCAGAGGGGGTTGGCGGACAAGGGAACCGCCAAGTCGGAGGTAGGGGTCAAGGTCCCCCGCCAAATCGCCAGGGTTCTTGTCGGTCCCCACAGCGACGAGGTGGAAGGCCACCTCAACGAGGATGGCACCCAGGCTTGCCACAGGGCAGGCCCTGGGAGGATTTGAGCTTGGACCAGCGCGTATGGCAGGAACGCGTGGACCTGGGTCAGTGCGTATTCTGTGGTGACCCGGCCCATGTAATAAAATTTTGTCCTAAGTMTAGACAGGCCCGTTGGGTTGCCCAACAGTCAAAAGGCAGCCGCAAGTAGGGGTCGCAACTGCCCCTACTTCAAGGCCATGTGGGGAAGCGAGCACGCGCACACAGGAAACTCCCAAACCACATGAGCCTATGCCAGAGGTTGCAGGCCCGTGCCTAGCTAGCTATCCAGAGACTGCTTTTGTTAGCATCTCTCTAGGCACAGGCGTGGCAGAAGAGTTGAAGGAGGGGATGCCAGCCTGGGCCAAAATGAAGAAGGAGAGCAAGGGACAACTGATCTTGGTAGATGTAGAAGTGTTTAGAAGCAGAGTAGGGGCCCTTATAGACTCAAGGGCCACCCGCAGTTACATTAGCCATAGGGCGCTGAAGAAGCTGAGGCTAGGATTAAAAGTCCAAAAGTTAGCAGACCCCATAGTCAGTGTCCTCGCAGACAACCGCACGATGCGAGTTGAGGACTATGTAGAGGGAGTCCAGACGTACTTTCGCCTAGACAAAGATAGGAAGGTGGAGAAAGTTCTCCATTCCCTAACTCTCCTCGTTCAGGATGACCTTCCTTTCGACATAGTGTTAGGAATGGATTGGGGAGAGGCAGCAGGGGCCACACTCCACTTAAGAGAGCATGAGTGTAGGCTCCCTAGTCCGTCAAGTGAGGTTAAGACTGCCCGCCTGTTTCATGTGTCAGGTGTAGACAACACTCAAGCACATTGCTGTCTCAGTGCTCCCGCGTTCGCGCGGTTAGTGAAGAAGGAGTGACTAGAAGAGCAGGTCTTTGTAGTCTATGTTAGACCTGTCACCGACGCTAAGGAAGAGGTGAGTTCCACAGATCTAACCATAGCCAAGCTGCTGGAAGAGTTCAAAGACTTAACTGAGTCGCCGACAGGAGTAGTACCGCGACCCATCTAGCACAAGATAGAGATAGAGTCTGGCAGTAGAACTCCTAAGAGAGCAGTCTACAGGATGTCCCCTAGAGAGTTAGAGGAGCTGCGCAAGCAGTTAGACGAGCTCCTCGAGAAAGGTTGGATCAGGCCCACTTCGTCTCCTTTTGGAGCACCAGTTTTCTTCGTCCCTAAGAAGGAAGGAGAGCTGCGTATGTGCATAGACTATAAGGGTTTGAACGTGATTACTGTGACGAATGCTGAGCCGATGCCCAGGATAGACGATCTCTTAGATTGGGTGCAAGGTTGTAAGTATTTTTCAAAGATCGATTTGAAGTCCGGATACCATTAGATAGAAGTCCACCCCGATGACCAGTACAAGACTGCGTTCCGG